AAAAAAAAAAAAAAAAAAAAAGAAATATTTCAACGTAAGAAAATTAGGAGCTATACCAAACCTTCTTAAGAAATTTCAGGACACCAGGATAAAGGGAGAATATCCCAAAGCCTTCCAACGAAGAAGGAAAAAAGGTCACACACAAAGAATCTGGAATTCGAATGGCACTGAAATTCTCAAGGCAAATTTTGAAGCCGGAGCACAGTGAAGCAGGATCTTCTGAATTCTGAGGGGAAATGATTTCTAATTTAGACTTTTCTGTCAGCTAGAACTTAGTGAAGTGTGAAGGTAGAATGAAGATATGTTCAGACATGTGAGTTCCTGAAAAATATCACCCCCCTTGCCCTCTTTCTCAGGCAGCTACTCCAGGATGTGCTCCCACAAAACAAGGGAGAAAACCAGGAGAGAGGGTACAGGGGGCACAGGAAACTGGAGCCCGATACAGGAGAGAACCCTCAGGGTGATGGTGGAGCTGGGTGGCTGGGCTAGAGGCCAATGCCAGCCAGCCCAGAGGAGGACAGGAGGTTCACAAGGACAGACAAGAAGGTTATGTGTGTCCGGGAGATCACATGTGAGAGCTGTGTCATGATATTTTATAATACATAATGCTCTATAAAATTACAAAATCAAGGCGGAATCCGCATGAGATTTTAGATGCCAAGGGACTAAAAAGAGTTGTAAGGGTTACCTAGAGACGGACTCAAGGTAAGCAGGGCATTCCTGCTTTACGATACAAACTTTGTAGGAGAGTTACCCTTTTAAAATAGTAGACTCTGAAGTTTTATGGAAAAATAAGCCTCAAACTCCTGATGAACCCGCAGGGCAGGGGGATGGGGCAGTGAGAGCCCCAGGCCATGGCAGATGAGTGAGTAAACACCTGCCTGGCAGAGAAACGACAGCTTGTGGGCTGCCCCGAAGTCCCTGTGTCCACACCGACCTGGAAACAGCAGCCTGGGAGGGGCTCGGTCCTCTGTCCGTCTGTCCATCTGCAGCTCTCAACTGCAGGTGCTCTGCCCACGTCTCTCTGGGGCCGAAGCCCTCTCAGACCTGCTGCAGCACAAGGCCCCACACTCAGCCCCACCAGAACCCCGCGCCTGGGCCAGACCCAGTCCCTGCAGCCCCAGGTGGTTTCCAAATGCATCTCCTAGAGAGGCGTTCATCAAGATGACTTCACCTTGGAAGTGTCAGCTTCAGAGCTGAGGTGAGATGCAGCCCCTCACAGGAGCCTGGGGCTGCCTTGGGAGTCCAGGGTTCTTTGTGGGCTGGCCTGGGAACCCAGAAATCCTTTTTTTTCAAAACCGATTTCTTAGTCACAAGCAACCAACTTACAAATTAACTTTCAGAACCGAGCCTTCCCTGGTAGCAGGTGGAAGATGTTCTGTGCCATCCGTAAAAATCAGGACGCATGGAAGGGACCACATTTGTTCCAAATACCAGATAACCCAAGTGGTCCCTAAAAGACGCAGCAAGTGGAGAGCTCGTGAAGTTTGGGCCCTGGTTTCAAATCCCAGATGTGCTCCTTAGGACCTGGAATTACGGGTGCTTCTCTGTTGCCTGTTTTCTCACCTGTGAAATGGGGATAACACTTCCTTCCCAGGATGACTGTGGAAATTTAAAACCCAAGAGCGCTGGTAGAGCTCTACCACGGTGAGCAGCACGTCAGCAGCCACCCGCTGCTTCTCTGGTGGAATTGGGTGAGGCACCTGCCGCAGGAGCAGTCGAGATGCCGTGTGAGCATGACTAGGGCGGCGGCCCGGCACTGGGGCACAGCAACCCTTCACGTGCCTGCCTTTGGGGCTTTGGAGTAATGATGTTTATGCACACGTTCCTGGCGCAGGTGCAGTGTTCTAGGCCCAGGTTTTGGTAGTGGACAGCACAGACACGGCCCCACCCTCCTGCTGCATCTGAACCAACCAGGGGACCTGTTAGGACACAGAACCCAGATCCTGCCCTGGAGTTTCTGATTCAGAGGTCTGCGGCGGGGCTGACAATGTGCACATTTCAGTTCCCAGCTGATGCAGAGGCTCCCCATAGGAAGCAGCTCACCTGCGTCTCCCTACACCCACCCCAGCTGGGGATAGAGATACATGGCCCTTGGCAGATGACCGGGTACCGGGGGAGGAGACCCAGCCAGCAGAGAGAATGCAGCCCTTCCCCACGGTCCAGCTGCTGTGTCCCAACCGGGACAGATGCATGATCCCAAGCTGTCGCTCAGCCCTGGAACACAGGCCTAGCAGGTTAGAGCCATTTCCACCCTAGAAGTGGGGGCCAGCATCTTTCCCACTTTCTGGCCTTGCCTCTCAGGGTTCTCAACAGCCTGCCCTATTTGTCCTGCCCTGTTCCGGGCTCTCTGTGAACCGTGGTGGCCGCGGTGTGTTCTGCCGAGCAGGGCAAGGCAGGCTTCAGAGAGGGAAGCTGCCTGGCTCGGGGAGAGAGGCCCGTCAGGACTCCAGGCAGCACCCTCCCTGGCTCCCCAGCTTCCTTCACCAAAGCCCCACATCCTCTCCCCAGCTGGGCTTTGTTTGCCGACAACAAACAGAGCCTCAGTTCCACGGAGCCAAGGCCAGGGAGAGAGGAAGCATTTTGCTGTGCGGGGACAGTCATCACCATCAAGGCCACTGTTCGTTGAGTCAGGCACCTGCCATGAGCTTTAGGGAATTCTTGCCCATGGGGCAGGGGAGTGGGGGACTTCAGTGAGTCAGGGACTCCATTGCTCCCATTTTACAGAGGAGGAAACTGAGGCCCTTAGAGATCCAGAGGGCCTAAATTTGAATCGGGGTGGTCAGATGTCAAAGAGCATGTCCCGAAGGCTGCAAGGCCAGGGCTTGATATGGAAAAATTGAGATTCCAAGGGCAGAGGACGCAGGCGCAGGTGGGGACAGCTGCTGAGTCAGCAGCACAGATGGAAACTTCTAGATGAATGGGGGAAGGTCAGCCCCTTGTTCCACTGGGAGTTTTCCCAATGCTAATGTAACATATGAGGGTAAGTCTCAGTCAGTGCTGCGATGTCACCCCATTCTGGAAACTGTCTCATGTCCGTGGCCCAGCCTGGCTGCGGGCCTCAGGCTCTGACCTCAGTCTTCCTTCGTTGGCACTTGGGGGTGGGTTCATGGAAGCAGCTGCCCTTTCAGCTGCAGGGGTGGCTTCGGCTGGGAGGGTTTCCCGTAGCTTCCACGGATCAAGTGACCTCTTAGGGCTTTTGGAGCCCACGGCCTGCCTCTGGGCTGACCTTCAGCCTCTCAGAGGGCAGTGGAAGCCCCACTGTGGGACGTGGCACCTGAGCTCCGAGCAGGGGAGCTGTGACCTCTCAGGCTCCTGTGCTGCTCACAGGTGCCCACACGTGTCTCATCTTCCCACAAGCACCGGCCCCCCTTTTTAAAAATTGCAGCAAAATTACATAGAATTGAAGGATATAGTTCAGCGGCATTAAGTACACTCACAGCCCTGTGTAACCAGCGTCATCATCCATTTCCAGAACTTTCCCACGATCCCAAACAGAACCTCTGTACCCTGCGTCCCCTCCCCCAGCCTGAGTAGCCACCTTCCCACTTTCTCTGTGACCACCCTGGGTTCCTCACGTAAGTGAAATCATGTATTCATCATTTTGTGTCTGGCTTATTTCACTTCACACAGTGTATTCAAGGTCCATTTCTATTGCAGCACCTGTCCGAATTTCATTCCATTTTATGGCTGGCTGATATTCCTTGGGGTGTACACACTACACTGTGTGTATCCATTCACCTGTCCATTGGGCTGTTTCCACCTTTGGCTGCTGTGTCTGAGGCTGCTGTGAGCAGCAGTGCACAGGTACCTGTTTGAGTCCCTTCTTCTAGTTCTTTTGGGTAAATACCCAAGAGTGGGCTGGGTGCAGTGACTCGTGCCTGTAATCTCAGCCCTTTGGGAGACCGGTATGGGCAGATGGCTTAAGCCCAGGAGTTCAAGACTAGCCTGGGCAATGTGGCAAGCCCCCATCTCTATAAAAGATACAAAAAATTAGCCAGGCATGGTGGCCCACACCTGTAGTCCAAGCTACTGCGGAGGCTGAGGTGGGAGGATCCCATGGGCCTGGGAGGTTGAGGCTACGGTGAGTCATGATCGTGCCGCTGCACTCCAGCCTGAGTGACAGAGCCTGAACTTGTCTCTAAATAAATAAATAACTACCCCAGAGGAATTGCTGGATCCTATGGAAATTCTAAGTTAATTGTTTTTAGGTCCGCCATAGCATAGTTCGCTGAAGCTCACCACTTCACACTCCCACCAGCGATATGCAGGGTCTGCCTTTCCTTTTAAAGCAGGATGCGCGCCCCCTTCCCCAGGAGCTTCGGCTCTTCCTGTGATGGCTGGAGCCCTCCTGGCCTCAGTGCTGGCCCCATGGACACAGGCTATGGGCAAGAAGGGACTCGAAGGGCCCTGGGCTTGGTTCAGTGATCTGCTGTCACCATCTGGAAACACTTCATCATGTTGAATAAGGGTCCCCCATTTTCATTTTGCACCAGGCCCTGCGATCATAGGGCGGGTCCTGCCTGGCTGGCTTCTTCCTGGGCGAAGACTCTGTGAGTTCAGCCAGCTCCACTGTCACGGCTGGACGGGATGAATCCTCTGACCCTCTGTGGAGGGGCCGCCTGGGGAGGCGGCAGAGTGCCTGACTGGACACAGGTCCAAAGCCCAGCCCTGCCTCGAGCCCTCCGGGTTTGTCACTCTCTGTGTGTGAGACGAGA